TGTATCTGAAAGGAAATACAAATAACAGTAAAACACTAACCATATCATTAAGGCCACAGAAAAATAGGTAAGTCATGCAAAGTGACCAACAAAAAAAAAAAACTTTTGAAGAGGTAGCTATAAAAATAAAAAAAAAGAAAGAAAAAGACCTTATCCTAGACAGACCACCATTTCTTTCAATTTTTTTTATTAATGCTTTTGTTTGTTTCTATTTTATACAATATCAACCCTTATGAGGTATTTCTTCTTAATGCTTTGGATTAATAAGAATAATCTTTTGCATAATTATATGTTCTGTATTCCATTTAATCATTTGAAGAGAAGACACTTTTCTATTCATGTTTTTGCTTGCTTTGCATTTCCAATGTTTTATTTGCAAAATTCCAATTTCAGGTAATCAGAAAAAATACAAATTAAAGTGTCAACTGAGAACACCAGATACAATAACTTTCTACAATGATTTATTTAATTCAATAATTATTTGATTATAAATGGATAGAAAAGGGTATAAAAAAATAGAAAAATTTTACTGCATAATTTGGTGGCAAATGTTTGCTTAATCATTTCATTCAGAAAAAAGAAAGAAGTGTAGTTTCAAAATCAAAGTCCAATTAGAAATTAAGCAGAAAGAAATTTCATACCCAAAATGCATAGAATGCAAAGTGAAGTTAAAACATTCAAAATTTGTGAGAGCTTAAAGCACTGCTTGTTAATGCAAGTCAATAAGCTCAAAGAAAAAGTTTATATTTAACAAGAACATTTTGCCATCTCTAATTATTTTCAACAGATAATATTTGAATGGAGTTATCTTTTCTATAAAAGAGAAATAGAGAAAAAATATTTTATTTTCAGTCAAAAGAGATTCAGGAAATAATTTTTTTGTATGCCTATATCCCTGAAATATAATAGCAAAATTCCATATTTTATTACCAACCGCTTTTGGATAAGCACCTAATCAGCTTGATCAGGATTAACAATCATCAGATTGTGATACCAGCATCAAGCCTCAGCTATTTAATTTTGCTGACTGTAGATGGAAGCCTTTTACATGAAGCAAAAATTAAGAAAGAATATATCTTAATATTTTATTATATACCCCAAAAAAAAAAAAAAAAAAAAACTCATCATTCATGAAGATTTAATTTCGAAAAAATGCATAAAAAGTTAAAAGAAGGTGAAAATTTTTCTGAACAGAAGCAATATTAGACAAGTTATGAATAAAATCATCTTTGATGAATTAAAACCATCTGTAAAGAATTGCAGGTTAATAAATTCAAAAGACCTCTTAATAAATTTGAGATTAAAATTAAGTTTTGGTACTTTAGTTTAATAGCTCAATCTATGGATGTTTTATCCTTCAAAAGGTTCTCAAGCAGATTGGCTGAGCCACTGCCAAAGCAGCCTGACAAAGTGGTTCATATGGCCAAAATTGAAGCAGTTGATAAGACAATAACTTTGCCAATTCCAAAACAGATGTAACATTTCAATCCAATTTATACTACTATATGAACAAATTCTGAGAAAGGTCATGAATTGTATATATATATATTATTTCCTTTCAATTTTATGAGGCACATCAAACTTGGAAAATGTCAGAAATGTGAAACCTAACAAAATCAGAAAACTATGCTAGAATTTGAAAATTTACTTTTTGCTCTCTTCTAGCAGGAAAGTAAGTTACAAATTGACCAACCTTAAATAATACTAATAACACACAGAAAAAAAGGAGAAACAGAAGTAGGGGGAAGGGGGCTTCCAAGTTGTAATCTAAACATTCTTTATGTAAACTAACCAGTTTTTCAAAGTGCTGTTCATCTGGCAGTAACTAAAGAGAAACTGTATAAAACAGTTCAACACCACTTAAGAAAGTGAATAAATCTGAGAGAGTCCATTAATACTGAATACAGTTAAAAAGAAATTCCAAAATTTTATATTATTCAAAGCATATTAATATAAAACTTTATCTTTGTTAATTATGAGCTTTTAAAGAGGTTATTTAAACAAATTTATATTTCAATCAATGCTTTTTAGCTAAGAAATGAGAAACAAATTTACTGAGAACATGAAATGATATCCACATAAACATCAGAATTGGTATTATTTTGAAATCTATCTTAAAGGACTAAACCAGAACAAATTAAATGACTGTACACTTCTGATGGTTATTTGGTGACAGACAAATATTATATTTAATAAACTTTTTCCAACCAAGACAAGCAACCTAAAATCACTTCACATTTTAGAGTTTCTAATCTTGTACAGATCTCAGTATAGAGGATGTTTCCTATATAAATATTAGAAATGTATCAAATGACTGGATTGGCAGAAAAAAAAGAAACTAGCAACTATTTCTACATAACTGATGAATTGGTTTGAAGTCAAAAAATTTGACCAAGTAAGCTTTTAGTTCTTGAGTGCTGGTTGCTTCTATTATAAAATCAAGCCATTATAGTTTTAGAGCACCCAGTCAGAAATAAGGTGAGTAACTTTGACAAAAAAAAAAAAAAAAAAATTACTCAAAGTAGTTGTGGTGATAATATCATTTAACATGGCCAAAGATTTTTTTTAATTTAGGAATATGCAAACCATACACTGATTTTATAGTTAAAACAAATTAATGGATTTCTGTCTTAAAGGAACCTCAAAGAAAAGTGCCTACAAAAACTGACTAGTCATGAAAAAACATTTTTATCATTACTTATAGAAACTAACTGAAAATTTGATGAAGTTGAGAACCACTATACATTCCCATATACTTTGAATGATCTGGAACAAAAATATTTATTCATCATGAAGTAGTTTCATTCACTTTAAAAAAATTTTTTTTTTTCAAAATGCAAACCATTTCTACAATTAAATGGCACTCTTGAACTATTTTCAAAGAGAATAATGCCATATCTATGATTTCCATACCAATTATCTATTCTTGGAATATGTCTTTAAATTGTTTTTTCAAGGAAAGTGAATTAAAAACTATATCTTTAATTTTGGTTGGCTTCAAGTACATTAAGATTTTGGTATCTTCAGAAAAAAAACTGTATAATGATCTCCAGAATTTAAAGATTAAAAACAGTGGAATATCAGATTTAATTATAAAAAACAAAGTCTCCCACTTTCAGCCATAAAAGTTTCAAGTACATGACACAAGGTCAATTTTAGAGTTCAGAAAGATCCCTTTAAGATAGATAATATAAAAATGTTAAAACTAGCTCCTAGCTAAAATTAATTTCATTTTTTTTTCAGACAAGAAAAATAACCAAGATTCTATAAGCAAAATGCTGAAATTGACATTCAATGAAAGAAAAAAACATTCAACATCATGAAAACAATGTAGAGTTTGTGTTTACATGGCAATAAGGAAAACAAGGCATTATTTTCAATAGACGATATGCAACAATGAATTCACAATATTTATATAAATTAATCTATTTCATATGAAATGGCCTTTTATAATGAAAATAAATAATACATTTCTAAATATGTTATACTTCTTAATCTATGTTCCATTTGAACCCATAAATTTATAAACAGGTTTGTAACAAAAATATTCCACCTCAACAGAAGTCTTACTTTTAGAGGCTAGAAATTTTTCAAGAGCCAAAATAATAGCCCTATGATTGTTGAAACTTATCACAGAAAAAAAGTGCAAATTGTTTGCAAAGATTATAATCAATCATCTGAAGGTGAAGTTATATTAAGGTGAATATTTTCATTAAAATTTAATGGTTTTTTTCCGAAAAAATTTGTAATGAAAATATTTCACCAATCAAATGGAGTAGATTTTAATAACAAGATAACTTCTTTAAAAATATATTTTTTCTTTTTATTTATAATCCGCCATTTCAGATGAAAAGCCCATTTCTATTGAATTACAACATGAACATTAGATCATTGCACAAAGTGTTAAACATGAGAGAGTTAAAACTTCTCTTACTAACAGTACATACAATTTAAGAGAAGCAAAATATGTGACAGTTCATAAATTCACCTTGAAATCTTCTGAAAAGCTGACCATGTTATCAAGCAATGAGTAGTTTTCAATAGTTAAAAGATGGAATTAAAAAAGTTAGTGTTTCTTCATATATTATTAATGCAATTGTTTTTCTGTTTGGAGAATACTAATAAATTATATCCCAAACTACTAAGTTTGAAATTGCGCCAATTTATAGAATTTTAGATGTATCCAATAAATCTTATTCTTTGAGTTTTAAATGATGTGGAGAATTTAAAATGAGAACAGTGATGAAAATAATTAGAAAAATTATTTTAGAAGTAAAATTAAATTTTTTGAACTAAAATAAAATGACATTGTTTAAGTTAAAACTCAAAGGAGCTGAAAACTGAACCATCTCAAGATGGTTTTTCTTTTTGTTTTTATTACTTTTAAATGTAGTTTTGTTTTTCACATAAAAAAAATATATGAAGATTTTATAGAAGACGGTGAGTGTGATAATACCAAGGCAGCATGCACAATTATCTGTGGTTGACAAGAAAATGATGCAAAGCTTAAAGCAGATAGAAAACAAAAATAAAATGGTGAAAGAGAATGCACAAAAATGTAGGTATTCTAATCTACAGGACCTCAATAACAATGCTGAAGACAGCCACTGAAACTGAAGTTAAGAGTACATTAAGGATGCAGTGAAACTGTAGCATTAAAATAGAGAATTTTATTATAAGTAAAAAGGAAGCATTTTGCCCCAGTAATTTGATGGTGTAGCAGATGAAGAAAAGCCCAAGCAGAATTTGATGCCAATAATGAAGGATGGGAGAGGGAAATGAAAAATGAAAGAGAAGAGAGAAAAAGAGGGCAGAGCTAAGCAAAAGGGAAAAAAAAAATTTTAATAATGTGAAAATGCTAAAAAATGTGATAAATAATAGAGACGTATACACAGACAGAGCACAAACAATATCGAGCACAACAGCTCAACCATGAGATCATGACATGTAGTAAGTAAGTAGGTAAGTAATAGTATTAGATGTGGACCAGGCTGCTCTACCTGAATGATATCGGTTGTCCTCTCGGGTGAGCCTTCGATGAGCTCTCCGCTGAGCGGCAGTCGAAGGACTTGGGGCGCTGGGGCCTGCTGATGATGCTGAGTGGGAAAAGAGAATAAAAACAAACAAAAATAGTCAAGCCCAGTGGAAAGAAATTTGTTTGTTTGGTGGTTGCAATTGGCCAACCATTGATTTCATATGCACAAACATGGGAACATAGATTTAGTTTGGGTTTAATGCCAAGACAGACTATCAAGTCTATCAGAGACCAATAGCTATCTTAGCCACAAAAGTTGGCTGTTCCTTCTTTCTTCAGATTTTCAGTATTTAAAAAGAAATGTTTAAGAAAAAAAAAAAAAAAAAAAAATCACTTTCTTGACAACTCATGCTTTTATTAGAATCACAATAAAAAGAAATCTTTCTTTTCTAAATAACTTGAATAAAAAAAAAAAATTTAAAGTCAGGATTCAAGAATTTACATTTTACAATTATTTAAAAAGGAAAAAAAAAAATAAAGATCTATACAAATGATAACTATGCAATCAAGCCTGATGCAGGAATTGCCATAACAGCAGAATAACAGGCATGCTAGGGATATGGTTGATTGCTCTCTGTATGTATTCATCATTTTAGTTATTCTTTAAACTTGTAAACAAAGCTGCTAGATTGAGTTACATTTGAAAGCACAGTGATAGTAAGCTTTGAATTTCACTACTTGCAGTTTTTGGCTACTTTTTAAAATAAGCTTAGCTAACTAGGTTTAATAATAAGTCAATTCAAAAGTTATTACCGCTGAGCTTTCAAATATCCCCCAATTTGCTACTGGTTTCCCAATCTGGCATCCTTAGACAAATAAATCAACACTTTGAATAGGCAGAGGTGATATTCACCAAGTTCATGCTCTGAATACAATGTCTTATCCGTTATTCCTCTACTTTATTTTTCATATGAAGAGATTGATATGCTGACTTCAATGAGAACTACAGAGAGAATCACAAATCATACAGTAATTTCTTTGAAGCAAGAACTCAAACTTTCTGATTTTCCAGAAAGTTTACAATTCAAAAGTAAACAGTGGATTTGAGTGTACACAGATGTGCATCAATTTCTTGGTTAAAATATGCACACTTATATCAAATGTATTGATAGCACAAACATCTTCAAAAATATGTTTACAAGTGGTGCTCAGTATAGATATATACATCTGTTTTAATCATGTAAGACCCCGTTTCTCTATATATCTACCTTTGAAAATGAAAGGTAATGAAATATACTTTCATTTGCTTGAGACTATCTTATACAATATACGAGTATGCATGGTAACCATTATACTTTGCAGACAAAAATGCCAAGCTTATCCTCCACCCGCCTTACAAGGCTAACAAATTCATTTTATAAGAGAATATGAAAAGGTCAGTAGTAACAGTCCATAGCCTCATTTAAGGCTCCTGTATGTGACAGGAGACTAGCAGAGAGAAAAGAAAATGTCTTCTATAAAAAAAAAAAAAAAAAAAAAAAAAAAAGAGAAGGATACATACCTAAAGTGTAGGAAACTGAGACAATGTTTGACTGTTATAGAATGTTATTTTTCTTTTATTAAAGAGCTAAATGCTAAAGTAGAATGCATCTTAAATAGCTATAACATATTCTACATATGGTGAATTTCCTATTATGATTATCATCTGAAATAGAGAAAAATATTAAAGTTACTCATTTTGAGCCTGTCTATAAGACCCCCATTATTATTATTAACAAAAATGTTAGCTAAGTTAATGTTTATTTCAAAGCTGCCAAAGTTGAAAAGAAAAAAAAATAATTAGGCAAACAACGAAACAATTTTTAATGGAAGCAAGGAACAATTTACATGAAAATGTGTTACTGCATAAATTTTAGTAGAAAAACATTAAATGAGAAAAAAAACTAGGAAACTAAAACATTGAATTCTTTTTTTTTTTGTATGAAAAAAAGCAAAGGCCAAGGGTAAAAGAATCAAAGCCGTGTTCAAGGAACATTTACATTAAAAAAAAAGTTCATTTAAGGTCAAACATAACAACAACAAGCAAGAGATGGTGGTGGATAAAAACAAAGAACAAATAACACAGGTTTGGTTTGTCAGTTCAATTCTTACAAAAGAGTATCAATGAAAACAGAAAGAAAGCTATCAGTTTCATGAGATCAGTGCAACCATTTTGACTTATGGTTTGTTAGTGCAGGAACAAATAAAAAAAACATGATAAAAAGGTTCTACAGAGCCAGTAACAGATTTAATGGTAACTTGAAAGAAAGGAGAAATTCCACCTACGGTACATGCATTTTTTTTTTTTTTTTAATTGTATTTATATAAAGATAAGACTGAAGTGAGCATGCTCCATGCTTCAACTATTTCATTATTACATTATGTATTTTCCTAATAGTTAAATAGCAACAGTGACAAGCTTATCAGTTTTTAGAAATACATTATTAAAGTAGTTTAATATACAAAATAAACATTTAAAAGAGCTTTTAGGGATAAATGATGAAGTTCAATTGTAGACATTTATATTACAGCAAAACATTTCACTTGTATTGTAAATTATGAGTCGAGATTTAAGTTTTATATATTTGGGCAGCAATTTTCATTTAGGCAAGTATTATTAGAGACAGACAAAATTTTTTTTGTAGTTTCAAGGGAATGAATAATCAGTTCAAGACTAAGCAGGGATTGTCCATAGTTTTTATCATTGGATCTAGTGCATTTTTAGCCATTCTCTGGTCATCTTTAGAAACAAGACCTGTGTTGTCAGGAAATGTTCTATTGGCATTTCTGTTAGAAGATTGTGATTTATGGACTTTATCAAAGAGATCAGAGTCAAAAAATATAAGGAAAGCTATTGTAACAAATTTTTTAGAATTATTATTAAATTTATTTATAATATTCAAAACTCCATTTCCTAAGCTAAAAAATCTTATTTTTTTTTTTTTTTATTTAATTTAATTTTTTATTTATTTTATTTACAAGAACTTCAAGAATTTGGAGTCTCTAATTGCCACTAATATTGTATAAAATTCATGCATTATCAAATATTATGGAACTTATATTGGTAAAAAACATTAAGATGTGATTGTATTACACTTTAGTTAGATAAGTGATAAAGTAATCTGAGATGGATGTGGAATTTTGTTTACTATTACAAACTCCTGCTGGACATAAGAATTCATATATTACATTTGTTTTATGAAGTGGGATGTTTTTAGGGCTGCTATTATTAGTGACAATGAAATTCAATATTTTTTATTTTTTTATGATAATCATGTTTTTGTTAGGGTTGACAGGTGGGATATATTCCTATGATATGTTTTCATATTCTTAATTGTTATCTTGTTCTGTTTATAATTATGGTGCATCAAGTTACAATAAGTTTATTACATTACTACTATTATAACTGTTGTGCTAGTATTATTCTGATTAATTTTAGAATAATTTTTATTTGTTTGTTGATAATATAACTATGAGATCTATGGCAATACTTTTAAAAATAATGGACAAGATGATATTAGTAAAGCTTTGTTTATAATTTTTTTATAGCAATCTTGTACACATGGGAATATTCACTGTTGAAATTGAGGCAAGATTTTGAGCTAGCAGTTTTTTTAGCATTTTTTTTTTTTTAATGAGAAAGCAGTGACGGTTTAATTATTCAAATTGTTTATAACATTTTAGAAGATTATTGTTTAAATTCATAAGTAAAATGGAGGATGGAATTATTTTCAAAACATTTTTTTAGATCAGATATAAAGTGGATTTGGCTAGATTTTTAAAAACTAAATTTAAGAGATGTAATAATTGGACACTACTGGTCCAAGAGGAGATCCCATTGCAATGCTGTTACTATGTGTAAATTTTACCAAGCTGGGCATAAAAGGGTACTTGTGTAATACAGACTAAAGGAAACGATTCAATTTTGGGTAGTGAAGAATGTTTATAATCTTATGTAATTTATTACTAAAAAGGTTTACTACATCAATTGAAGCTAAAATAGTATTATTAGAGTTGGTAAAGTGTAAAATTTAGAGAAATTTGTGAATTGAATTACTATTATAATATTATTGAAAATTTGGATAATTGGTATATTGGGGTGGGACATAATGCGTTGTCATTGCTTACTAGGTTTATAAGTCATTATGTTACCATATCATCATGGTAAGAGTCTTCAGTGATTTAAAAAAAAAAAAAAAAACAACTTCATAGTTGCTATTTAAACTATTAGCAGTTACAATTTCAGATTTTTTTTTCTAGTATTTAAAAATAATAAAAAATCTGTAAAAAAGATTTGTTTTTTTTTGTGACCATTGAGGTTTAATAGGATATAGTTTTGTCACCTTTTCTAAAGGTTATGTGTCAATATTATAAAAGTGTTCTCCAGCAGCAGTTTTTAATGTTAAATGATAGGATGTAACCCTGTTTAGTGTAATATCTTTTTTTTTTTTTAATTTCTTTAGCTTTAAGTACAAATATTTGAGTTCATCTAACAAGTAACAACTATATTATCTTCCTGAGGATGACCAGAGAAAAAAAGACAATAGGAAAAATGTATGTAGTTTTAGCTGATGTGTTTGTCCACTGCAGACTTTTTCAAGACAAAAAATGAAATGAATAATAATTCAACCACAATTTTGATTTTAAAAATGATACACTCTTAAAAAAAGAAAATAATTCACCCAAAAGGAAAATCCTTGAGAGTGCCGTCATTGAATATTATCCAAATATTAATCTACATCCAGTTTTTCCCCCCCCCCAATCTCACCTCTCCTAAGAGAATCATTACTCTCCCAAGTCACAATATATAACAAATAACAAGAAATCAAAAGAAAATGGTTGAATCTGTCATCACAACAATCCAAACAATATATCTACATATGAAAAATTCTCTTCAAACATAAAAAGTAAATGACATAATTTTTCAGTTGACCCAATGAATATATATGAGCATTTCTAAATTCTTCTAATAACTAACAACATTTTTTTCATAGATACTTTGTTCAAATAAATTAATTTTGTTTTAATCTGCAGTGGACAAAATGTGGCAGCTAAAACTACATACAATTTTCCTATTGTCTT